AAGGGAAGCCACAAGGAGCCAAGAAGAAAGTTGAGAAAACAGCAAGAGACCATAAAATAGCCAGAGAGAAAAGAAGGAGAGATATAAGGACAACAAGGAAATTAAGAGTCTTGAAACAAGGACAGGAATCAAAGGAAAATTAGCAAAGATACAAATGGGGCTAGATGAAGTTAAAAGACAAAAAAAAAAAAAAAAAGATTAAAAAAACAAAAAAGAGTAAAACTAAAAGGGAAAAAGAAAACAACTAGAAATATCCTACTTTGCTAAACTAGCATTTTGTCCACCAGAAAAAAGAAGAAGCACCAAGAAGAGAGTAAACTCAAGCAGCAGGAAACTAAATTTGGAAAAGTCAGACCTCCTAACGTAGAGTAAAATGTTTTAATCAAGGAAGAAGGTAAAAGGATCATATTACTTTTTTAACTAAAACGCTGCCAGTGTCTTTAATCTTTTCCAGATTAGACTGAAGGGTACCCTTAGCTAACTCAAGTTTGAACTTTAACACTTTAAACAAATGTGAAGGATTCCTGATTTTGTTTCTCCCCCTTTTGCTTTCTCCCTGATCCTCCACTTCTGCTTTTCCCCTCATCAATCTACCGCCCTCCCCAAGAAATCACCCTGAACATCAATAAACAGGACAAAGACCCATCAGCTGTACCTTTCCTGAAATGTTTCATTAAGTCACAAATAAGACTCTGTTTTCTTTCCTTTGTTTAAAATGTTGTGGGATAAAATGATGTGAGCACAGACTAGATTCTAAGCTTTTAGAAAGCTTAAGATCAAAATAAACCAAATATTTTATTAGGGATTGAGGTTTTTGAAGAAAAAAGTATTTAACCCATAGATATTATCTTCACCATACCACGTGCTGAAAATCCAGCATTTTCTGCACTGATATGAAAGTTGTATAATATATAAAGAAATATATTATTGTATAATATATAAAGTTATCCAGGAATAATGTTTCTTTTGTTGTTGTTGCTGTTGTTGTTTTGCTTCACAGAGCTGAACATAAGGATATTTCCATGGCAGGAACTCAACAAAACGTAAACACTAAATAGAACTTCAAGGTTTTTTTAGTATTGAATTTTAAAGTTAATCTTTCACATGAGAGATACACCACTCTCACCTAAGGTAAGATTTCTTGCTGGCATAGTTTATATTGGCCATATCAGTTAGGTTCCCATGTCTTCACCTTAATGTTAGTGTTGACTCCACATAAGTAAAGCTTCCCTTTAAAGCTATTCCACTAAAAATAGAATCATACTAACTGCATTCAATGGGATTTTCCAAAAATTATGCATTCTGAGGAAAAATGAATTAAATGAAGTCAATTAAATGCACATGAATTAGAAAATGCAAATAAATCCACAAAGAATACCTTTACACACCCAATAGAATGCTTAAATGAAAAAGACTGGCAACACAAATGTTATCAAGGATGCACAACTGGAACTCATAGACGTTGCTGGTGAGAGTGTAAAACGGTGCAACCACTCATGATAAAGATTCAGAAGTTTTTCCCCATGACTCAGCAATTCTACTCCTACTTATTAACTCGCGAAATAAAACATACATCCACAAAAAGACCTGTATAGGAAGGTTCACGACGACTTTATTCACAATAACCAAAAACTAAAAATAACCAAAATGTCTACCAATAGGAGAATGGAAAACAAAATTAGGATACATTCATGTGATGGAATACTACTCGGCAATAAAAAAGAACAGATTACTCATATACACAACATGAATGAACCTTGCAGACACTATGCTGAACAAAAGAAGCTAGACACAAAAAAGAGTACACACTGTGTGTACTTATAAGAAGCTCTAGAACAGGCAAAACAAATCTACAGTTAAAAACTTAAAATCTAGTTACTTCTAGTGGATCATTATTGATTAGAAAGGGGTCAAGAGAAGAGAAATGTCTAGGATGCAGGAAATTATCTTAAGAGGGATATGGGTCACATGGCTATATGTATTTTGTTAAAGTTTATCAAACTGTACACTGAGGAGCTATAAATTTCACTGTATGTAAACGTTACATTATAAACTATAACATTAATAACGATAAACAGCTATTAAACTCTAGTTAGTTGGTCTGCTTATCATGATGATATGAGTAAGCAATTTTGAAACTACTTAATGTGTATTCTAGACTCGGGAAATGAGTAAATACATTGAGGATGATGGAAGCTAGGTGTCTCACTGCTAGAGAGGACAGTAATAAATATGGAAAGAAAAAAGATTGGAATGTATCTCAAATGTTGGGTTGAATTAGAGGTATCACTAGAAACATGTGGTTCTTATTAGAGAGAGAAAAATACATATATGTGTATATATTTGTATATATGTGCATTTTATAAGTTATATTATACATGTATTATATTAAACACACATATACATTTCCTAAATTCTGTCTGCTGATACGGTTTATAATCAACGATATACCTCTATCAATGAGTATACACAGTGCCCATATCTTGATTTCTAAATACCTTTGTCCTCTTAAAGGAACCAGGGTTCCTTGGACAAAAGATTGATTAGGACTATAACATGATGAGCCTGGAGCATCTGTTTGCAGCAGAAACTGAGTCAGTCCTCCAATAATGATGGAGACATTAAACTGACCCAGAATACCATTCAAAGGGACTCCTACTGGCCAAATCTCAGGCAATCTGGGCATCAAAATAATGATAGTAATGAATTATGACCCACTGAATAAAATACAAATCCAAAAGCCCATGGTGATACAAATACAAAAATAAATGAATGAATAAGAAAGGAAACTGTGGCAGAAGGCCAACTAATAAATACAAAAATTATAAAGCTAAAATGGAGATTTCATGAGAGAAAATATTTACTTAGTGTCAAAGCATCTTCCCACAAATTACTTATTATTTACAAAGGGAAAAGAGCAACATTTTAACACTGGAGAAATTTGGTGGACACCACCTAAAACAAGTATTCAGTGTTAACCCCATCAACACTGGTATAGTATAGTCAACATCAGGTACTTCCTGATCTGATGTACTGAGAAGGGCACAGCACCACTTTGGTGGCATTCCTGCCATGGAAGTATGTAACCTGAATTTAATCATGAGGAAGCATCAAGCAAACCCAATTACAGATGGGCATTTTATAAAGTGCTGGCAGGTACTCCTCAAAAAATGAGAGACCATTCCAGGTGAAAGGAAACAAAAGAGACATGACAATTAAAAAATTATGCATGATCCTGAATCCCAGATGAGAAGAAAATGAAACAAACAAGCAAAAAAACCTCTAAAGGACATTATTGGGACAACTGTTGAAATTTAAATATTGGTTGTGGATTAGATAACAGTACTCTATGTGTTAAATGTGAACTTTCCTCATTTTGATAAGTGTGCCATAGCCATGTAAGAGACTGTATTTGTTCTTAGGAAACACACCAAATATATTTCGAAGGGTGTGAAGTCTTCAACCTTCTCTCAAATGACTAAGAAAAAAAATTAGTGAAGAGGCAATGACAGATCAAGTAGGGTAAAATGTAAAAAACTGGTGAATCAGATAAGTGGTAGATGGGAGTTATATATACTGTTTTTGCAATTTGTCTCTAAGTTTGGAACTGTATCAAAATAAAAGTTACCAAAACCCACAAAAATATGTATATAGCAATGCTTATATAAGCGTCACAGATTTTCAAACTTACACTCCAAAAAAAACGATAATGGGTTTTCTGAAAGAGAGGAGAGTCTATGGCCTAATAAACTTACTCACTGCAATCCCTTTTTGAAGAGCCACAGTGCACTTCAATAATGAAGCCTATTTAACTGGATTTAATCCAACAGTTCCATAATAATCTGTTCAGGAAACCTGCTTAAAATGGAACACCTATTAAAATCTTACAAAAATATCAATATTCTGTGGAAAACAGCTGGAGAACCACTTGTCTAATAAATACATTTCCTATACATGGTTAGTTGAAGAAAGATTTGTGCTAGGAAAATAAGATAGAGTAAGAGATCTACAAACACACACACACACACACACACACACACACACACACACACACACTGGAGCAGTGTCAGTATCATCAGTAAGAGAAAAATGACAGGAGTCTAAAAAGAGATATCTATCTAAAATGTCCCACCCAGCCTCATATAGTATGTTCGTGCAGGATATATTTTTAAAGAGGGTAGAAACTTGGCAAACTGAGTTTTACTTTTATCCAACCATTAACTTGAACACATCATGCTTCCTGTCATTTTAAATCTGATTCTTCCCGTGAAATGTATAGCAGAATAGCTTCTGTGCCTGGTGCGAGCACCTTCTGTGGGCCAGGCACTGTGCAAGACTCAGAGAATACAATGATGAATAAGACAGAGTTCCTGCCATCCAGGAGCTTCCAGTCTAATGAGGGAGATGGAAAGTTAACACATGCAGTGAACACTGTGGTATTCAAGAATAAGCATCGGGATTTATAGGCACACAAAAAAGGCACCAAACTCAGCAGAGAGCGACCAATCAGTGAAAGTTCTCTTGAGATGATATTTAAACTAAAATAAGTTCGTGCACACTAAACTTCTGTGAAAACTTATTCAGAAGGTATTTTTAAACTTTATTTTAGCCACCCAATGTTAGGCTCTGTATCTACAAGGTATCACGGTAGTTAAAAAAAAAAAAAAAGGAAATGAAAACATATCCATTAGCTATTAAAATCTGGGTACAATTCAAAATCTACAGATGACTGTGACAATGAGTTTGCCGTAAACCATCATCTTGGAATTCTTTCTAAAGCGCTTCTAGACTTACCTAGGTACTCAAGTAGAAGAATGTAACAGCTGGAAGAGGGGGTGAAAAAGAAAAAGGAACAAACGGAAAAAATCAGAAATAGAACAGTATGAGAAGACAAGAAGTGGCAAGTGTTGTTTACATGTCAGCTGAAAAACAAGAAACAAACGGAAAAATCAGAAATAGAGAAGACGTACGAGAAGATGAGAAGTGGTAAGTGTGTTTACCTGTCAGCTGACATCGATTAATCTTGTGTTCCGTGATGTCGCTCAGTGACTCAAACACCTGGAAGCAGCTGTCACAGCTGTGCACGCCTTCGTCCTCCAGCTCCTCACCATCTTCCGGCCTCTTCTTACAGTCCCCTGCCTCTCCATCTTCAGTCTTGTCTTCAAGTTCACAGTTGGGGTCTGAAAAAAAAATCAAGACTGTAAGTATGGTGTTTAAAGACAGGTTCTTTTAAAGTAGCGCTTCATCTTGCTACCCAAACCAGAAACACCTTTTTCCTTGAAGCTGCACTAGGAGGGCTTTATTGTAGATTTTATTACAGAAGCATCAAAAGCGAGACTTCCCTAAAATTTGTCAGTTCGTGATGACTGGAGTTTTTCCTTTTCTCCTCCAACATGTAGCCCTTTTCTCAGCTCCTCTTTCAAATAATTTGCCACACTTAAGGTTAACTTTGACATTTTTTTACAGCCTTTGTTTGCTTACAAGAGAGAGATAAATCACTTTTAAAATTAAACAGTCTCCAATGCAAAGGGAAAAACCACTGTGCTTGAGAATGAATTCCTTTTCTGCTAAATATACTCTTTCACAGGAAATTACCAGAATTAGCCAAAAGTCTAGAGTAAGCTAAGCTAATTACCATAGGCACAAAATTGACCTTTACTTACAGACTGGTCAAAACACACAGTTACCCCATTATTTGTTAGACAGCAATAGCAAAATAAGCTCTATCACATAGCATAACATTCTTGCAAGCACCAACTCAAGTGTAAATGTACTGGTATGTCTCTTGTTTCCAAAATCATCAAAAAATAAAACAAAATATACAAAGAGCAACTGCAAATTATAATCAAGTCAACAACTTGAACCGGCATTATCAGTTTCGAAAAGCTAAATAGAGGGAAAACTAAAAATAGTGCCATTGTAACCCTAAGAATGATACACAAATATCATTCATAAGAGAGCAAAACACATGCAATATTTTCACTTAGAGCTCAATAAATACGTTGTGATTTTCTTTATGCTGTCTTTTGCCTCATTTTAGCGAAGTATCCCCAAACATTCTAGTGTCACTGCTCCTCTTTGCAGGAAAGCACAGAGGGAGAGAAGACGCCTCTTTAGGGAAAATTAGGATAATACAATCTGTGACTTAACTTACGGGACATTCATTTCTAATAGCAAGAAGTCCTCCAAAGTCAGAAATAAATTATGTCTCAAAATAGAGTTTTCCATGAACAGTTACAAAAGAACTGTATCGAGATACCTAAGAAATATGTAATGTGTTATCTGTAGTCAATTTGTTTAGATATGGGAGGATAAATATTTGCAATGTTACGATACAGAATTCACAGGATCAAACTAGCCCAGACTAATTAGAAAAGTCAGTAAGTGCCACCATACCACTGTCCGCTGTCGGAAAGTGCTTCCTGCTACCTTGCATGTCACGTGCTTCTACAAACCTATTTCTACAAGTCACGGTGCTCCCCTTTGGCTGGAAGTTATTCCAAAGCCTTTCTACACATCTGCAATAAACTTAACTATACCACCACCCTTCAAATGATTCACGTATACCAAAATCAACTTACATGTCAACATATATAATAATCTCTTGGGTTTGTAAAACAAAAGCAGAATTCCCAAATCAAAGGGCAAGTAGTTTTGTTTGTTTGTTTGTTTGTTTTAAAAAAAACCTAAAAAACGTGTTTAAGTAAATTGGTAATTTGAATTGATTTGCCGTCTGGAAAATTAACTCAACACCCTACGCGGTACCCATTTCAACCCACTGGCGTTTAGACTGCTCATCCCTGGGGGAGTAATCACAGGATCTTTTTCGTTTGTCTTGTACTTTGCCCAGCACAGCATGGTGTCCAGGTGAGTGTTTAGTAAATATTATTTAATGATGACAAGAAGGGAGAGGAGGGAGTAAAAAAAGAGTATACTAAAAAGTCCTTTACTGGTATTTATTCTGTAAACAGGAACAGACCAGTCATCTCCAAATTCAAAAGCACATACATGCCTACATTTTCCAAAACTGACACTGTATAATCCATCACATTTGCCTTTGCTGGTTTCAAATGTTTCATCTAGAGCTACAGACACAAGAAACAGGTAATGGTTCAAAGAGCTCCAACAAGCTAAAACCAAGTGGTAAAATACTGCCAAATTAGAGTAATTCAGGAAAACAAATAACTGTCCCAATTATGGTGAACTGGCCGGCACACCGTTAACACCGCTAAACACTTGGTGGAAGGCAGCAGGCGTACACTGAACACTCAGTTGTTTAGCATGATTTTCCAGTTTCTCATAAAACTGACAGCACTCAGAGAAATGTGGCTGCTAGGTCTGAATTTTAATACGATTATTTAAATGCTATGCATCAAGTTTGCAGGCCTGTTTGTTTCTAAATAAGCAGACACTCTGAATACTTTAAGTAGTATGCAGCAAAAATGATAAGAACTTGCCTCCCTTATTATTCAAGGATATGGACACTTTACACGAATCCAAATCAAAAATATCAAACAAATAGGGAAGCCTGCATGATGCTTTAGCTCTTAACAACTAAAGAATGACCCCAGTCCATGCTTCTGACACTGTGGCTAGTTATTAAAATGAGGGTCATTTTAAGACTAATAAAAAATGGTTTTGCTTCCACTTCTGCATTTACAGATAGAATCCTTCAGGGGCTGAAGCCAGTCAAGCTTATTCACTTCTGCTGCAACTTCAGGACGCAAGCTCCAGCCAACTGGCGAATTGTTTTTTGGGTCACCACTTAAGAGGGACCCTCTGGGGGGTGGGTGCGATTATAGCCTATGATGCTTTGGTGTAGCACAATGAGTCCTGGAAACTCAGACTCTCTCCCTGAGAGTAGATTTTTTTTTTTTTTTTTGCCAACCTCCACATCCAGGAGGAATTCTTTCTTGCCCATTCGAAAGATGGGTTTAGGGCTTTCCTGGTGGCGCAGTGGTTAAGAATCCGCCTGCCAAGGCAGGGGACACGGGTTCGAGCCCTGGTCCAGGAAGACCCCACATGCCGCGGAGCAACTAAGCCCGTGCTCCACAACTACTGAGCCCACGTGCCACAACTACTGAAGCTTGCGTGCCTAGAGCCCGTGCTCCGCAGCAAGAGAAGCCACAGCAATGAGAAGCCCGCGCACCGCAACGAAGAGCAGCCCCCGCTCGCCGCAGCTAGAGAAAGCCCGCGCGCAGCAACGAAGACCCAACGCAGCCAAAAAAAAAAAGCAAAACAGAAAAAACAAAACAAAAGATGCATTCATTTGCGTTAGGAGTTTCCATTCCTAATGGCAGCTGAGGTAGGAAGATTCTAGAAAGCTGACACTGTCAACCATTTCTTTCCCACAGGCGGCTACACTTCAATAATTGCACATGGCCTTAGTTATGTAGTTTTTATAGAGCCCTTTGAGAGTCAGTCATAAGAAATAACTGTGCTGCTCTGCTAGCCATTCAGACCTCTGGCTTCAGCCCAAGGAGTTATAAATACAAGGTCCGTCCCTGTAAGCACTGCTCCAACCCGAACACCACTGCAGGACGGACAGCTGTTATTCCAACTCTACTGTTGTACTACCAACCCACCCAAAGGGCAATATTTTAAGATATCCGCACACCCCCCTGCACTGCCATCACAGACCCCATCATAGCCACAGGCACCACTCTGTCCTCTGCCCTAGAGAAGGCCACCCAAATTCGTTTCATCCATCACAGATGACCTCTGCCCAACCAACCTGCAGGCTCATCCCTTCAAAAGGGTCCCTATGATGCACTGGACTGAGAGTGTTCAGACTCGGATAAGAGACACAACTATTACTGTAAAAATAAATGACAGCTCTCTGTTTCCGATTTTGTTAACGTTACTTGTAAATGGAAATTTAAAAGAAGTGTAATTTTTCCCCTTATTATGTTCCCTGGCGGGTGGTTCCTTCCTTCTTCTCATCCTCCTCTTCATAAGCATTGTTATTGCTACAACTTGGTTTAATAAAATTACAAATTTGGGGAAAATGAAAAACTGCACTGGCTTAAAAGTGTTGGAGGCCATAAACCCATGGACTTCAATTAATTTCAAGTGTGGGATCAGTTTAAGGCCAACCAGCAGAAATTCTGTTCTGTCCATGTAAAAATGAGGTTTCACCACATTTACTTTTTATAACCTATATAAAAGTCAAGTAAAAGCAATGAATATCTAAAACCCATCTCAGTGGACTGGCAAAGGCTATCTGTATTCTTGAAACTCATCCTACATATTTCTCTCTGTGCAACAAGGATTCCATGCCTGATCAAAGTTAAAATGTCAAACCACTGAGAAAACAGCCCAATTTCCAATCCATTTCACTGCCTAGAAATGGACCTCCTTCCAAGCCACTTTTGCATGGAAAAGCACTGGCAAAAGAAAGAAAAACTAAGAGATCATGTGGTTATAATTATTACCAGGCAAGGAATATTTCTGCAGCTCAGTGGTAAAGTAAAACTCTGTTGCTCTCTGCTCCCAGTACTGTCCATCGCAAAACAACTGCCTCATTAAATCTCTGCAGTGAGATTAATATGCCGTAGCTGCACTACATTTATAACCTGGTACTCTATAAAAAGCACATTTAATGGTAAGAGCCAGAGCCTAGATACAGAGTATTACTATAAAAACTTCTGGCAGCGAGTATGCAGTCCAGGCCCTCTGTCCTTCTTGCTGGAGATGTAAATGAGGCTTTTCCTGGTTGACTCTAAGCATGAGGCTCTACCTTACAAACCAGTACAGGCAGAAACACAGGGTTCTGAGGGTGATGTAAATATGAACGCAAGAAGACTACTTAACAACTAAGATTGGCAAGAGATGAATGAACCCAAAATACTCAAACACAAACACAAACTTAAAACTGGACCATTTCCTTATAGTTTGTTCTCTGGTCATAGCCAGCTTTTCACCAAATGAAACAACCATGGCATGAATTACTCAATCTTAAAGCAACCCACATAGTGCCAGTAAGTTCAAACATAACAGCTAAAATATGCATACCGCCTTAAAAAAAGAACATGTGATGACCATGACCTCCTGGAACTTAATTACCTAAAACTATAAAAAAAAAAAAAATAGATGTTCAAGAAAAAGTGGCCTCAACACTACATCACTAGTGGACTCTGGTAAAAATACGTTTTCGTTTGGAAAGCTGCCTAAGTTTTTT